ATGAAGAGGAAGAGAGATTGAAATATACAAAAGTATAGTAGAAGAGTGATAAAAGAGAGATGGCAGAACGGGCGCTGGCGCCTGCTGCTTTAGACGGATGCGCTCAACAAATGCGATTTGTTTCTCCCATTCGCAGAGTTGCCTATACCAATATGTCATATTTCTAAGAAATCTAAGTCTACCCAAATTTCGGTAAAAATAGCTGTGGATTCCACATAAGAGTATTCCAAAAATGAAAAAAGTTCAAACTATTAAAATTGTATTAATGTTTCATGGTTCAAATCATATTTTTCATGTTTGTATATTGTTGTATAAATGATTTTGTAATCCCTATTCTTGTTGCCAGTAGAGATACAACAGTATTGAGAGAAATCATGGACCGCTAGATAGGGCTACAACTACCATATGACTATCAAATAGTAGTGATAAACAGGGTTTGTTTATAGCACAGTTGCCTGGTGTGGCGAATTTGCGCCATAGGGGCGATTTGACAGCTTTGAAGGACAACTATAACGGGTACTATGGTGCCCGGTATTCGGGAATCTGGCAATACCTGATGATTCCTAACGTTTATTACGCCAGATTGTTTGCTGACTTGCGCAGTACAACATGACAATCAATCAAATGTATTTCGAGAAATCCGTAATGTTGAGTAAATACTAGATCACGTTTCTTGCTTAGTTTGATGAAAATTCTACAATAGACGTACATTTTGAGAAACAGAGATTTGGTGACGACAAAATCGTAAAAATATATCGCATTTTCGTAAAATAATTTCTTTGTTATAAAGACTGTGGCTTGATGACCCATTGAACGAGGATAGTGTCCCGCTCCGCTTTGAATATTCGAAACACTATACTCCAGCAGCATTCAGCTTCAATGTTATCTTTATGAAGTTCTAACGTCTAGGCCATGCTGATTAAAAGCTTGAATGAATCAACACTTAACTCTAAATTCCCCACAATTCGGGAAGCTCTACTCAAATTGGCAACACAGCGTATCTGCCTATTATTCTCATTCGTGATACAGGTCTGCGGTCTGCTGCAAATTTCAGTATGCGTTGAGTCGATAGAAGAAGTACAGTAGATGCGCGCATTACGTACCAGTTCGATTGGACGTCATGTGAGCCGATTTCGGTGAGATTTCACGAAATCACCTAAATCACTCTACTTATTTTTATGAATGGATAATTGGTTTTGTAGCAATAAAGGTTGCGTCTCATAACAAAAATAAGAAGATACCCACTCTAACAAAAAATAGTACTCTCTTAAAAATGTGTAACGAAAATAAAAAGATATTCTAACAAAAAAATAAGTTCTCAAAAATAAAACGCAATAATGAACACAAATGTTTCAAATGGTCCTTCACAGTTGGGGCTCAAAAACGTCTCCTTCATTCAATGAACAGTATGTCAGGCGGTTATAAAACTCCTGACGAACTCTCAAGAGGGTAGAAGGCTGTATTTGCCCGAGCGCTTCAACGACTTTCAAGGTAAGTGTGTACGATCACCGCATTATGCGCCGGGCATCCATCTTGTTGGAACCAAATATTAGCGAGATCAATGCCAAGCTGCCTAATTGCAGGAACAATCTGCGTCTGTAGTAACGCCAAATATTTTGCAGCCGTAAGAGTTCCATCAATAAAGAACGGTCCGATAATGTTATTACCTAGAATTCCTGCCCACACATTCAGTTTCTGTGGATACTGCGTGCGGACGGGAATACTGAGGTGTTTATTTTCCCGAGACCAATACCGAACGACTGAAGGATTGTGATGACCGTGGAGAGGGAATGTGGATTCATCAGTAAACAAAACGTTACCAATAAAACTTCCATCCCTGTTCGCCTTCTCCATGACCGTTTCACAAAACTCCATTCGACGGTATTTGTCTAAAGGAAATATTTCTTGAACCGTTCCAACCTTGAAGCTATGATAGCCGTTGCGATGCAAAATATTTCTTGTTGTTCTGGGTGTGAGATCGGCTATTGGTACCATTTCCGCAACTTTTCTGCTTGAGCATGGCTCAGATACTTCTGCAGCGGCACAAACAGCAGTTTCGATCTCCTCCCTTTTCTCGCTAATTTTTGGTTTCCAACCTTCAGGCTGCATGCAGCTATGGCACTTATGTAAACAGCCCACCCTCTTGAATTTTTCGTAGGTATTTATAACCGTTGCGTGAGACGGAATTGGCCGATCTGGGAAGCGTACCGCAAATAATTCAACAACCGCGCGTGCTGAATTATTCTGGATGTACCATTCTATCATTTGAAACTTTTCTTCTTGCGAGTACATTTTTAAGATATTTTGGATTAAATAAAGACGCACCTTTCCTATACAAAACCCAACCGCAGAGTGAGTCATGAATCCCTTATCGCACTTGACAACGGCACGCGCGTTAACGGTGGGAAATATGTACGAATAGCGATGAAGGTAGACGAGCCGATGCGCTGTTGCCAAGAAATGATTTCCCATGTATAACAATGGTTTTTCCTAAGGTGTATGTTTAGTCCTTTTAAGATGTCTGATGAGGTACACACCGAGACACTTAATAACATTTTTGCTTCGAATCTCGCCGTTCTCAACTTTAGCAGACAATGAAGTTATCTTCTGTCTGGCAGAAAGTATAACCACTTTCGTCTTCTCACGAGCTAATTTTAAGCCATTTTCTTTTATCCATAATTCTCGTGATCCCATAAGCTAAAAAGCCTTTCTATCGTACTTCTCCCCTTGCTAGTTACTATCATCGCAAGGTCATCAGCATACCCTGTCAGGCGAAATATTCGAGGATTTTCGGCCATTGTGCCATATTTAAGGCATTCTTGACATCAAAGGCGATCATAACGCACAGCTTCTTGCTACAGTAGCTGCTGCTATCCGCTGCCTTCATGAGCTGTACCACTGCGCTAAGTGCATTTATGGTAGACTTCCCCTTTCTAAATCCATACTACATTCTTTTGTTGGAGGATTGACCAAGCATTTACGTACCCTTATACTAAATAATTAGATTAGACAGGGTGTTTCAGTTTATTGTTGCATAACTTTGCGATTCGATAGAACTTTTAAAATAATAACTATATAAACATGGGTCGAAAAATGAGTGGCTTTCGAAATACAGGGTGTTTAAATTTACTTTCTAAAATAGTTTTTTTAAAATATTTCGAACAATATTTGATGTATAACAGTGGAAACTGGTATACAAGGGTTTTTTGGTACGACAAAACGAACCATGGGCATAGTTTTACTGTAGCCGCTAGAGGGCGCTCTCTACTGTACCTGTAGTGTATTAAAATGACCGAAATTTTTTTCTTAGTGCAATTTTTTGCTTTTTGAACAAAAAAAATTATTCTTCGCACTTTTCAACATAAAAAAGCTCTCTTGTGAATTTTCGTTATAATTAGCCGTTTTTGAGATATTTCGAATTTTAAGGTTCGATGCATTTTTAATTATGATAAAATAACGTTAAAAAGTCAGTATCTCAGAGTTAGCGGATATTCATTTTGTGTATGGCCTTGTAAATGGAAACGCAGCAGAAGCAGCCAGAGAATACGCACGAAGATTTCCAAACAGACGACATCCAACTCGCTCAGTATTTGTAAGAGTTCATCGCCAAATAATTGAAAATGGTTTTGGAAATCTCCAAAGGGATCAAAACATAAATGTTCGTCAGCGCAGATGTACCCGTATGATTCTGCGTGAGTTTGATAGAGATCCGACCACAAGTGTTAGGAGAGTTTCGGGTGCCTTGGGAATTTCAGCAAGCCATGTTCACCGTATTCTTAGAAATGACCATAGACATCCTTACCATTTGCAACCTGTGCAAGGACTACAGCCAGGGGACGGAGAACGAAGAATCACATTTTGTCAGTGGATTCTTGATAGAACTGATAATAATCGGGTTTTTAAGTAACGTTTTATGGACCGATGAGTCATGCTTCACTAGACGTGGAGTGGTAAATTTTCATAATCAACATATTTGGTCGCATGAAAATCCGCATGCAGTTCGGGAAAGAAATGTTCAGCATGAATTTAGTGTGAACGTGCGGATTGGTATCTACCGTAATCGACTATTTGGACCCTACCTTTGCCTGCAAGGTTAAATGCTGCGACCTTCTTGAAATTTGTAAAGGCTGAACATGCAAATATGTGGGATGATGTTATGTTAGATTTAAGAAGATTGGCCTCGTTCCAGCTTGATGGTTGTCCAGCTCATTATTCGAGAATAGTTAGAAACTGGCTGGACGAAAATTATCCAGAAAGATGGATCGGCCGTGGAGGACCAGTCGCCTGGCCTCCACCTAAATCCATTAGATTTCTTTGTGTTAGGATTTCTAAAAGAATAATGCTACACCACGTTCGATCATTCGTAGATGTGAATTGTGTATTGAACAATTGGGTTTACATTTCGAGCAACTACTTTAGATTTTGTATGTTTGTCGTAACTAGCCAATAGCATTTTAGTTGTAAATAATTAATTTAATTTGTTAAAAATAATATTGGGAAATTAAACAAATTAATATTCTGTTTTTTGTGTTTACTTGGAGTTAGGAATTATTGCTGTGTTTAAAAACACAATCTAAACGATCATCTTAATTACTTGTAATGCCCAAATCGAAAATGTAAAAATTATTATTTAGTCAAAAATAATTAAAAATGCATCGAACCTTAAAAATCGAAATATCTCAAAAACGAAATAACGAAAACTCACAGGAGAGCTTTTTTATGTTGAAAAGTGCGAAGAATCAGTTTTTTTATTCAAAAAGCAAAAAATTGCACTAAGAAAAAATTTTCGGTCATTTTAATACACTACAGGTACAGTAGAGAGCGCCCTCTAGCGGCTACAGTAAAACTATGCCCATGGTTCGTTTTGTCGTACCAAAATACCCTTGTATACCAATTTGCACCGTTATACATCAAATATTGTTCAAAATATTTAAAAAAAACTATTTTAGAAAGTAAATTTAAACACCTGTATATTGCATTTAGCCCATTAAATATCTCACCTATACAGAGGATTATCTCGCCCATGTAACCATTGAGCACCCAAGTCAACAGGTTTGCCGTTTACGAAAACAGTCTTTATTCTACCGCCTGGTTCTTCATCAGCTTCAATCAATATAAAGTCGTCAATATTATGCTCTTGCAGTTTCAAAGCTGCGCCCAAGCCTGCCATGCCAGCACCAACTATGACGATTTTTGTATGGATAGTATTTCTGCAAGAGAAATTTATGTATGCCTAAATAATATTACTAAAAAGCACTCGAAGTGTTTGTAACTTTAGACGGTTAAATTCTAGTATGTAGTTCTAGCTACATTCAGTAGATACAAATATATGTATGTTATTATATTCTAATGTAGTAATTTTAAATGCAATTGCACATTGGTCGCTAAAATGTGGAAAGCACAACATACATTGCTATACTTATTGGTTTAGATGAACCAGTAACTACTGAGCAATAATATATCTCAGAAGTAATAACAATTTCAAATTTTGTTAATTTATTTCAAAAAGATGTGCTTTCAATTTCCTATTGATTAGCCAGCTTGCAGAAACTTTCGGCTGTGATCTATGTGAACTTTGACTTCCTAGTAATATAATAGTTCAGCTATAGGTACACAAATACAGGATGTTGAAAGTTAAAAGTTAAAAAGTTAACCTTGGACAACTTTAAAAAACACGTGAAAATAAGTACTTTCGAAAAGCTTCATTAATATCCTGCCATGATACTACGTGAACCAGATAAAAAGAATTGTATCTACATATTTACTTTATTTACATGTAGGTATAATATTACTTTCATGTTTTTTATTCTATATACGAGTATATCAACTTTAGTAGGTATGCTATCTCAAGAATTCGATCAACTTCTTTGGATGTTATTACAAATACATAGTCATGCCATAAGTTCTGTCCCTCGTTTTCAAACAAGTGTAGACCTGTTAATACTTGTCCGATTGTTTACATTGTGGTGTCAGTTGATTAAGCGCTTTTCGGGTAATTACATATACCTCAGTTTGTATTGATCTCTCGAAGCATAACGATGGAGTGGGCAAGGCAGAGAACCGTATTGCAGTGATAGCTTTACATAAGTGTAATCACAGTGCTAGTCAGATTTTTGAACTCTTACGCGGCCTTCAAATATCGCGTAAATTTGTGTCTAGGACCATTCAGCGGTACAATGAGACGTCCTCTGTTGATGACAGGCCAAGAAGCGGAAGACCTCGTCAAGTAAGGACTCCAGCAGCCATCAAAGCCGTAAAAGCCAGGATTCAAAGGAATCCACTCCGGAAGCAGAAGATCCTATCCAGGGAAATGAAGATTCCTGTCCGGACGATGTCGCGCATCATTAAACAAGACCTAGGGCTAGGGGCTTACCGGAGACGTACGGGCCAGCGACTTACGGCCACCTTGCGACACATCAGGGCGACAAGATCCAAGAAGCTCTTGGAGAGGTACGCAGCTGGGGGATTCCGAAAGATTTTGTTCACGGATGAGAAAATCTTCACCATAGAAGAAAAATTCAACCGACAAAATGACAAAGTGTATGCAAGGAGTTCACAGGAAGCTTCGGAGATCATTCCGAGAGTTGAGAGAGGCCACCACCCTGCGTCAGTCATGGTTTGGTGGGGGGTGTCCTACGAAGGGGTCACTCAGCTCCATTTCTGTAAACAGGGCGTGAAAACAAAAGCGGCAAACTATCAGAGTTACATACTGGATCCTATCGTCAAGCCTTTAAGTGGTACATTGTTTGCCAACCAACACTGGGTCTACCAGCAGGATTCCGCCCCCGCTCACAAGGCTAAGAGTACGCAGCGCTGGCTGGAAAGCAATGTGCCAGAGTTCATTGCTGCGGAAGATTGGCCCTCAGGGAGTCCGGACCTCAATCCTTTAGACTACAAGTTGTGGGACCTGCTAGAGCAGTTGGCCTGCTCCAAAGCCCACCGTAATATCGAGTCCCTGAAAGCGGATTTGATCCGATCAGCGGCAGCTATTCCTTTGGAACCTGTGCGTGCAGTGATAGATGAGTGGCCCGCGAGATTGAAGCAGTGTGTGAAGGCCAAGGGGGGACATTTTGAATAAAACTGTTTGATTATGAATTCTAAAAATGTTGTCGAATAAATAATATCTTTCATATAAATATATCTTATCTTGTTTCATTTTTATCATGAGATTATCATGGGACAGAACTTATGGCACGACTACGTAAAACTTGATATGATCAGAAGTAGATGTGTTGTTGTTCTCTCGTTTTAGAACTAAAAAATAAAGAAAAACAAAGTCATCCGTTACACAAAAGGACTATAAAATATACATGATATATACAAACATTCACAATTAATACAGGAAATGTGCCTCATTCCTAGCTCTTGGGTGCAAGATACAATTTTCTTGAAGGTCAGAGTTTAAAAAATTATCTTTGTCACGACAAGCAACTTCATTTTTCAAACAGGAACCTACTATTTCATTCTTTTAGATACGCATTCAATCTTCAGTGCTTCATTCCCATTCTCAAATATTCCCTTCAAGAAATAATTAGGAAGAAATCAAGTTATTTTGGAGATTAAGGGCCATATCGTCAGTCCTTGTTTTTCATAGTTTTCTACTGTTTTGTGTCAGCGCTATATTTTGAGGTTAGATTACAAATAACTATTTGCATCAAGTTGTTCATGCTTTCGATTTATTTCATCAGTTATATCAGCCAGAAATTTCCTACAATTCAAAAATTAAACGTAGCGTCGCAATTAATAGGAGTGCGCTGACGCTGACACGGAACAGTAGAAATCTAGAAAGGCCCCAGCCTTTTTGAAGGAGAGAAAAGACTGTAATGTAAGACATAAAGGTGTCCTATAATATTGTAGGTCGGCTTTAGGGACTCCTTGATTTTCATAGTTTTCTACTGCTCCGTGTCAGAGCTCTATTTTGAGGTTATGTCACAAATATCAATTTACATCAATTTGATCGTGCTTTTGATTTATATCATCTCTTTAATCAGCCTGAAGTCTCCTAGGATTCCAAAAGAACACACAACTTCACAATGGGACATAATGACGCTGACACGAAACTCGTGGAATCTAGAAATACCCCAAAGGCGTCCTACAATTGAAGGAACGACGATTCGGCCCTAAATCTAACCTGTACTCATCGATGATTCTCTGCGCCTCCCGAAAACCAGTCTCTACTGCTCCGTCCACAGTCGAGTACCTGTACATAGAAGTTGCTTCGCCTGCGAATAGTACCAATTCACTACCACCTGGTGCTGAAAGAGGTACTGCCAGATCCGACGGAGCAACTTTTAATCGGTCTGTCTCCACGCCATGGTATGAATATACACCTCGAAAGTTTGGATTATTGCTCCACGCAGATCTATAAGAATATACAAGTTTACCATATCAGAACGCAAGCCCAGAGGAAAAATTAACTCAGTTTAATTTTGTCGATACGTGTTCATCAGGGTGGCCAACTAAGGCCAGTATCGTCAGTCGTCCCTACAATTGTAGGGCGCCTTTAAGGCCTCCTTGATTTTCATAGTTTTCTGCTTCTCCGTGTCAGAACTCTATTTTGAGGTTATGTCACAAACATCTATTTGCATCAAATTGTGCTTGCTTTTGAGTTATATCATGTTTTATCAGCCTGAAATTTCCTACAATTTAAAAAGAAAACATATCTTCACAATTTTTGAAGGAGAGAAAGGAGGATGACAATCAAGGAGGCCATAAACGCGCCCTACAGTTGTAGGGACGACGGCACGACTGACAATACGGGCCTAAGGCTTGATTGTCATACTCCTGTCTCTCCTGCAAAAATTTCTAGATTACACTTGTCCCGTGTTAGCGTCAGCGCGCTCTTATTGTGAAGATATGTTTTCTTTTTAAATTGTAGGAAATTTCAGGCTGATAAAACATGATATAACTCAAAAGCAAGCACAATTTGATGCAAATAGATGTTTGTGACATAAAATAGAGGGCTGACACGGAGAAGTAGAAAACTATTACAATCAAGGAGGCCATAAAGGCGCCCTACAATTGTAGGGACGACTGACGATACGGGCCTAAGAGGTACTGCATCTGGGAACCTATCCATCGTAGAGGCTTGTCGTTACTAAAACAGCCAAGAGAAAAACCTAGGAAATATGTTCTGAAATGGCCGCTAGGGGGCGTAACTGCAATCTTGAATCTAAAAAAGTGATCTTTCTGGAATTCCGCTATATTAACCTAACAAAAAAAATACATGATCTTTAAATTCTATGATAATCTGAACCTTTTTTGTTTGAGATTTTTTGCTGTACCTCTAAAAATAGAGTGGTGGGGGGTTTCTGTAAAAAACACCTTGTATCTTCGAAACAGCTGAACCGATTTTAACAAACTTGGGCTAGTTGAAAAGAGCTATTCTTGGGCTAAAAATGGTATAAGTTTTGTTAGTGTCACATGTGGCCGCTAGAGGGTCTTCTTCGGCATTCCTACAGAAATGGTTAATTTTATCAAAATAAAATTAAATATAATACATCTTGATATCTTGATCCTAACCTAAAATTTAGGCCCAAGAAGATTTTATACCAAAATCCTCTAATTTTTCTGGAAATCTTTTTTAGTCATCAGAATAAAATCACCGCATACCGGGATATATTGATAGAACTCCTCATGATAGCACAAGGGCATTATCCCTTGAGTAGGGCATATCACGAAGAACGGTTCAAAATATTTGGACGAGCATAGATAAGTTCTAATGGCGATTAAAATATAGGGATTTATACAAATTTAACTTTTTTCAATTACTTTTAGAATGCACCCATATCATGTCGTTTTGCATCAGGCCTTGAAAGAGGAAGACTTTGATCGGATGTTGGACTATTGCTATTCGATATTAGGCATGATACGCGAAAATAAAAAAAAATTATTTTAAATTCTTTGGATCGATGAAGCCACCTTTGATAGTAACGGGAGAGTCAATCTCCACAATATTCATTATTGGTCTGCAGAAAATCCGCATTGGTTGCGTCAAGTTCAGCACAAAGGGCGTTGGAGTTTAAATGTGTGGTGTGGCATACTGGGAGGCAGAATTATTGGGCCATATTAGTAGATGTCTTATGGGGATTCGGTCTCAAAACTTCCAAAATCCGCCACCAGAGGCGCTGGCGTCGCGCGCCATTGACAGGTTGTTGGAAGGAATCTGTAATCATGAGTTGGGGATTCCGCCGCTAGATGGCGCTGTCAAACCAAACGGAATCTGTGTGTCATTGGACACCTGTCATGCGTCATTGGGCATCTCACGCATAGATGGCGTTACACGTCATCTGTCATACGTCATTGGACACCTGTCATTGATGGGTTGGGCATCTCGCGCATAGATGGCGCCGATTTGTTCGGCGCTGTACAAACCAAACGGAATCTATGTGTCATTGGACAGCTGCCATTGATGGGTTGGGCATCTCGCGCATAGATGGCGCCGATGTCGCACCTGTCTGGTGTTGGCGTGGGCATTCAGAACGTGTATACAGGGGTGCATCGAAAAATAGCGGATCGATGGACCGACGGTATATCGTTAAATCGTATATAGCAAAGCGTGACCTAAATAGCGTGGTGGGCTCCTCTGGTCGGTCGGTCGGTCGGTCAGAATGTCTCATAACCTGTATACGATGTACTGTTATTATTATACAGGATGATACCGTTCAAAATGAAAATAGTATAGACATTCTGACAATTATTTCGCAAACCAGAGGTATTTTCAATAAAACTACAATAATACGTTTAATATTTTATTGAAAATAGAAAAAACTACATAGGTAATATGATATTTGAAAACCAGTGGCGTAGACGTTCAACATTTCTCTGGGTACAGGAAAATTGTCCGTTGGTGTGGCATGGATTGGAATCAGCAACAAAGTTTCCAGTAGCACACGGTGTACCATCATACTTGCAAACATCAATAATGTTGGGAAAAACACCAAAAATGTGACATTTCTTGAGTAAAAAGTTTGCTTTCTGTTCTCCACGAACGTAGACATAGTCAGCCGCATATATCACCTTATTTTTAATTATTTCATTTAACTTGGAATATTTAACGTCGCCGGAAGAATATTTAAGCCCATGGAAATTCTTCTCCAAGTAAGCGACAGTTTTCTTGTCTTTAGTATTTAATGTAGAAAAAGGTTGCGGAGGTGTAAAGATGTAATGACTTTTCTTGAAACCAATTTCGATACATAGTTCTTTAGGTACGAATAATCCGTCAACTGTAAAGCCTTGAATGTCAACAAACGCGATCCTCATGATGTCTGATGCGGAACTGAGAGTCCTTCGTTGCTTACGAGATGGTTTTAATAACTTCGGTGAGCGGGAAGTACTCGATTAAGCAGTCATGTATAATGATGCAGTAGGCCTTGGTGTTGGTTGGAAAGCCAGTATCGGCTTCGATATCCAATCTAACATCAACAGTTGATGATTTCATGGTTTCCTCTTGTTTGGAACAGTCAATAACAAACAAAGCGCGATTTTTAAAAGCGGTATAATCTAAAAGACATCTCTTCAGAGGAGAAGAAGAAGTTGTATAGCTGGTTTGAAAGTCGCTATAGTTGAAATGAGCTTCAGTAAAGTGATTGTTTGCAAAGTCCAATTGCATACGTTCGTTGGGATAGTATTCACCATTTAAAGATACTCGAATACTAGCAGCATTCACGTGATCAAACAGGGTAGGGTCTGAGGTTGCGACGTCACGTTTACCGGTTTGGAAACATACTATAATGAAACGTGGTCTTTCGATTGCGGTGCTAGTTTTAACTGACCATATTTCTCTTCTCGCATCTGCGGTAATTGCAGGCAGTTCATTCAGATCCCATTTTCTAAACGGTATAAGTATCGGCTTATCAGTTTGAATAGCTTTCAAAAGTTGTTCTTTCACATCATCACTCGGGTAAATATGTTTGATTTTCAGTTCCATGCTTTCAATAGTTATTTTCGCTGTCGTCGTCGTTCCAGTTTTTTCCTTGATAATGATACAATCGTTATCGTTTCTAGCTCTCACAAATCTGAGAGTTTGTCTGCCACACGTAATCATAGGATAATCATTGAAAATGTTGAAAATATGTTTAAGCGGCATTAGCAAGCTAAAAGACTTGTTATGTGTTGACGCCATTATAGGTGTTGAAGGATAGTTCCATCCAGCTATAGCCATATGATTTGAGTCTTCCTCACTGTAACATACGTAAGCTCGGACAGTACTTACAATACCAGGATCACGTACTGTTTCAACTTCTCTAGCGGATTCACTGTAAGTGCAAGAGTCAAATAGGAAGGCACCAAAGTTTGGAGCTAAAGATACATCTCCTGCTCCTCCTCCAGTTATTTCAACTTTCCCTTTGATAGATAGAAGGGAAGCGTTCATTGCAAAGAACGAATCTACTTGATTGATGCTAAATTCCACAACATCATTACAATTAAATGACTTGATGAACGGCGTATAAGATCTATACTCAGCCTTGCGAATAGATTCATCGAATGCTGGAGATCGATATAGATCAAACATCGGAGAAGTATGTGATGCTGCTGCTGCTGCCTCCTCAGTTTTTCTCTTTTTGTACATGATTCTTGTTGTTGTTGACATGATATCCAAGTGAGCGTAGAAACAGGATATTTGATGTAGTTAGTAGTAGATGTCGTCGCTTAGGTGCTTGGGGTAATACTGAAGTTGCCTTGGAAGCACCACTATGTCTTATAATCACTAATCCCATCTGCGCTTCGCTCTCAACTCCAACACAAGAGTACTAGTTTCACCTTGAAAGTTTACAGGACGACCGTCTTGATCTAAAGCCAACACTGTGATGTTGGTTATTTCTTGTTTCGGTATAACAGGTAGATATAGTAAATTTACAGGTGTTTCGACTATAGCGTATCCAGGATCGGCTGTCACAGCAAATTCGTAGATCGTGTGTGCAGGCGTGTCTCCGTCAAAGGCTCCCGACGTAATGTTAGCATCAAAGTGTATGGTTGATACTTTTATTATGTTTACAGGTAAATCAGAAGAATGCTTTTGACCAGGATTAAGAACTTTTTTCGAGAATCCCAATAGATGTCCAAGATTATTCGGTTCTGTAAAAACTATTTTATAATACTTGCTAAAGATTTCACATTGCAGTGTATTATTGTTAGGTTTTAGAGAAAAATAATCATCCGGAGGAGCAACTTCATTTTCAAGATTCATTTGCGTTCGTATAAATGTTTCTATGTCGGTAATTTCATAACAACCTGTCGGAAACTCGATGACTTTTAATTGACCACCACCACCACCACCACCTATCCGGTCGATATAATAAAATTTATCTCCTTTTTCAATATTCGGTATGGAATTGTATGAAGTAAAAGACCTAAGCGCCA